GAATAGTGGGATTGACAGTCACATTATAACGCCCCCACGGCTGAAAGGGCGAGACTGTTTGGTGGGGTGCGGATTCGAGCCCGCGGCCCTCAGATTGTGAGTCGAGCGCCTTATCCACCTGGCCATGCCGGGCTTTAAGTTGATAAACTAGAGGGAATACAGACAGTCAACAATAGCCACCGCCAGACAGTCAACAATAACCACCGCCGACTCTTGTAAGGTCGGATACAGGGATTTGGCCATCATTATTATAACTTCCCTTGTCCCCAAAGTGCGAAGCGTTTGCCTTTTCTTTCTTTTTTATTGCCGAAACGCGATGCGAACAAGTGCAACTCTGATCGAGAGTCCGGTACTCTAACGGTCCAAACACCAATTATAATTGATGTGGGCAGTAACAGTCATAATTGGTCCAGTTAACTTTTCATGGTAAAAAAAATATAAATCATGGAAACTTAGAAAAGGCAATTCTGAGTTAATCCATATGAAGATATGTTTCGGACCAATCGGGGACTTGTAAAATTGAATACGTATTAGTTTGGAACTTGGCCAACATCACGTGAAGGTAAGCACGTCACAATATTTCCCGTAGTTTTATTCTTTCGCTAATGTTAAAACACGCGAAATTTGAATTTTAGATATTTATCCGCATTATTTGCCTTACGAAAGTTATTAGACCATTACTAAGGTTTGGGCAAGGGGATTTCCCCATTTTCAAGATCACTTTTTTTTTATTCCTCATTTCTCAAAGCAATTCGACGTTTCTGGATTGTCACGTGATGTACAGCAATGATTGTAGATGATCTGGTTTAGTTCTTTCTATTTGCACGTTGAAGGTCGTCCAGGATCCAGCTAGAGGCGACTGTTAGTTTGTTTCCTTGTGATTCAGATAAAACGTACTCGGATTGACTGGTACGACATTGTTTCCTCAAGTAAACTATCACGGTATCTTTCTATAAAAATATATGTCTTTCAGAACAGATGTACTAATAATTTGTTTTCGACTGAATAACACTATTATTTTAATTAAAAGCATGTTATTCAAGTTGAATATTTTAAAATCAAGTTTCATCATAAGAAAAAAGAAAGAAACTTGTGGTTTTTAATGTTTGATGTGAATTAAATTAAATTATTATTCCAAGTTCAGGTTGTGCAATCTTTAGCTTACGAAACGTTAGGCCTTGTTTTTTTTTTTTGGTAGACTTTATCACAAAAGAAATTAAAATATCCACAAAAATACAACGTGTAAGGCACATTGTAATAATGTCTTAACATAAAATTATAATATAATCCAAATAGCTTTCTAAAGAGAAACGACGAACTTTCTTACACCAAGTCGTTAGTCTGAATCTAAAGAGAAACCACGAACTATTTACACCCGCTATTTGTCTGAATCAGAATAGAAACCACGAACTCTCTTACACCAAGTCGTTAGTCTGAATCTAAAGAGAAACCACGAACTCTCCCTACACCAAGTCATTTGTCTGAATCAGAATAGAAATCACGAACTCTCCTTACACCAAGTCATTAGTCTGAATCAGAATAGAAACCACGAACTCTCTTACACTCAATCTTTATTCTGAATCTGAATAGAATCCAGAATAGAACTCTCCTTACATCGAGTCGTTGGTCTGAATCTGAAAAGAAACAACAAATTTTACACCAAGTCGTTGATCTGAATCTGAAAAGAAACAACTAATTTTACACCAAGTCGTTGGTCTGAATCTGAAAAGAAACAACTAATTTTACACCAAGTCGTTGGTCTGAATCTGAAAAGAAACAACTAATTTTACACCAAGTCGTTGGTCTGAATCTGAAAAGAAACAACTAATTTT